TCCCTTTATAAATATGAGCCTCAGAATTTTGTTTAGTTTTGAGGGTTCTGTTTGGTTTACCTGGAGTTAGGATACTGACTTTTAAGGATCAACATTGGTGGATTATTTCTCTTCTGTCACGTTCTAGCTGCAGTGGAGTTTTGATTATTCTAATGCTCTGTAAACTGAGTAATATAAGCAAATCAAATGGGGTAATATATGTTAATGGCTGTATAGGACAGGTATTGTTTTATTAAATGGTGGAAGTTTTAATGTTATTAAGCCCAAACATGACTGAACTGTATGGGTTTGCCCCACCATGGATTTACAAAGCCACCGTGACTCCAGTAGAGCCTGCAGCTACCTGATGATAACTAGCACAATTTTAAATCTAAAAATAGGGTTGAAAGAAATTAATTAAATTATTTTGGGCTTTAGTTTTTCGAACAGGAATCAGAAACCTTGTTATAGATGATGAAACAACCTCAAGTCTGAGGGTGACGTGGGACATCTCAGACTACAACGTCCAGCAGTTCAGAGTGACCTATCTCACTGCGAAAGGTGACCGTGCTGAGGAAGCGGTAAGAATGGTCTGTATGGGCTTTGTGAATGGCTTCTTAAGCTTGAAAAGTTTGTTTAATAATTGCTAAGGCATAGGCTCTCCTTATATGACACTCCTGCTGCCGTTCTAAAAGATCCATGGTTGCTGTTACTGAGAGATTAAACTTCAAAGTTTTAATCGTGTAGCACTTGCTGTCAACAGCAGTTAAATATAAGATGTTAAATGGCAACAGCAGTTAAATGTAAGATAAAAGCCCACTTCTTTAAACACAGATGTTTAAATAAGTCATGGGTAAAAGAGTAGCTGCCTGTCCTCTTTTATTTTCCCCAGTGTTTTAAAAAAATGACTAAGTTTTTAGGGTTTGTTTGGGTTTTTTATAATTTTAGTTTTACTCCTAGGCTTTTTTTTTTTTTTTTTTTTTTTTTAAATCCTGAGATTGTGTTTTAACAACTCTTAAATGTTTGTACAGGACAATCAAATCATTCTTTTTTCCTTCAGCAATTTTGCTCCTTCCCTAAGTCTTGTTTTATGCTAAAGCAATTAATTTATGCTAAAACAGTTCAAATGCAAAGATTTCATACTGCTTGTTAAAATTAACAGCACTTTTTAATTTAGGTTCGTAAGAATATTAGGAATATGTTATTTTTCTAATACCATGTGATGGTGAACATTAAGTGTCTTACACAAAAAAAGTTTCTGGTGATCAAGATTTTGGAAAATATTTGAATGAATGAACAGTACTGCAAGTATTCTTTTGTGCCTGGAGCAAATAAGAAAAAAAAGCCGTAAGTGCTTTAAGATTTCACAATTTTTGAGATAATTTCAGAATTCTGATAAGCCAAGTGATGTTTTGGGGGTTTTTTTCTAATTTTTTTTAAGCAATTGAAGAAATCTTCATATTGCAGTGCTTCCTTTTACTTTCACAAAAACTAGATTATAAAATTTTGAGCAAGATCTGTTTAGTTACACTTAAGAGATTAAATTGAATACGTCGAGGTTATTTTCCTAGTAAATAGCTCAGAATGCAGAAATATTCCCCATATGATTCTCCTTTTATGTCTGTTATGTGACTCACTCTGTTCATAGAACAGTTGTATCAAAACTATGGGATATTCTTTTTGATGTCTAGCAGCTAACATTTATAGCCCTATATCAGACTAGTTCAATAAAAAATACGAAAATGAGTAAGTGAAATACCTTTTTTTCTAGAAGACTGAGTCAGACTTTTTTCACTTTGGTTCTATTCATCTTTTATGAGACCATGGTAGAAAATTACTTTTTAGCCATTTCTTTCAACTATAAGCTGAAAATGAACTTTCAATGTAGTGGTTTCCTTTTGGACTGGAAAACATGCTATATGAATTTACCTCAACTATATGATAGTATAATATATAATACAGTGGCAAACTTGCACAGCATAATGACACATTGTACTGTTCTGACAATAACCCAAAATTTCTGAAATTCAGATCCCAGATTCACTCTTTTGGCTCTGGAAAGATTAATCAGATTCAATTGATTGATACAAATGTAGTTCTGTTTTAGTATTCAAAGACTATTATTTTTAAAAGGAAATTAAAACTGTAGGAAAGGTATTAAAATTCTTCCTATCAGAAGCATATTAGAGTTGAATCAAATTCTCATTAAAGAAAACTATAAAATCGTAAGAGTAGGTAAGTATCTTGGCTCTAATTCCAAAAATTATTTAAGTCCAGTCTCAAGTTTTGTTATCATCAGTCACAATTCAGCAAACAGATTAACCACGTGTTTCATCTTTGAAATTGATCACATGCATAAATACTTTACTGAATAACAAATTATATGAGATTATATGTAATATTGTACACATTTTAACTGGAAGGAATGTATTTTATCATATGACTTCAAGCACCTCAGAGATGCAACAATAAAATGACACAGACATTGAATTTTTAGGGGGCATTTATGTGTTTGAGTACATTCCTTAAAGAAAACCTAAAAGTATTGTGAAATTTGGGCTTAGGTATACTATAGTGTGACAATTCTGTGGTGGATGCTTCAGGTTTTTGGCTCTTATTTCAGTGACATAAATTTCAGTTACTCCTCCCTTTCCTTAAAAAGTATTATTAAGATTTTTAATCCCTGATGCAATTGGCTGGAAATCAGGGTCTAGAAAATGAAACAGAATGCTTTCACTACAGAAGAGTCAAGCCCTAAATTGCGTGCATGTCTTTGGGTGTGCTGTACATACTGGAAGGATCACATTTTTTTTTCTTCCTTAAAGCCAAGAATGTTTCTCATTGCTGAAAACCATATTGTTCTGTAGAAGTTCTCTGATGTGCACATGTGGAAAAGGGAGAGTTCTCAGTACTTGCATCCCCTCTCCTAAAAACCCCAAAAAGTTTTTTGTTCTTTTTTTCAGAACTTGGTTTGTTTTGGGTATATGCATAGAAGAGTTTAACATGGGAATGTTTCATGGTCTTTGGATAGTTTTGTCCAGTTTTGATCAACGAATGAAGTACTTTTTTTGACAAGTTGCAACACCAGTGTGTACTAGATTAATAATCTCTGTGTATCACTTGCCAAAATTACAAGTAGTTTGAGTGTGGCCTGGAGTGTTAGGACTGATGGAGAGCTTTTTTTCTGAGTACATGCTTCAGAAAATTTTGCTCTGCCCTCAACACATACATCAATCTTTGTCAAAACAACAAAACAGTTTTAGGTTCAGTTTCTCCTTGAGTTTAAAGGGCTTTTAGGTCTCTCATCTTCTTGCTGGCTCAGGTGATAGATTCACACAATGGACATGGGCCAGGGAGAGTCCAAAATATTACATTGGACTGTAAGGATGTTGCTTCCAACAGTATCACTTCAGAGCACAGGTTTGATGCAGGAAACACCTTGATTTTCTTACCATGTCAACTCCATGTGAAAGGTAGTTCCCATTCATGCTTTTGAAGCTCCCCAAGATAAAATTTTACTGACAAGATAAAATATTGTGACCCTTTACTTGGGCATCTCTCTCCACTATTGTGATACTAGTTTTTGAGGCTCTGGTTAAAATTTAGTAATCTACTGAAGAGTTGCAGAAATAGCTGCTTATGGGGAAGCCTTGAGCTGTATTAAAACAAGCAGTGCTTAATTCAGTGGTTGGAAATGTTTGCTTTGGCACACCCAAAACTGCCTTGAGGGCTTTTGACAGCTTCTCTACTACTGCTGGGTTGCCTGGTTGGGTTTCTTCCATGTTTCATGGCAGTTTGGAATCCTCTGCTATTTGTGGGATGTACTCCTATTTCCTTTCCTAAACAGCTACCATCATGTCCTTGTCCCCAGACTAGATGCAGATGGGTCAAATGTTTTATTCCTTCTTGCTCAGTCTGTGCTTCCTGATTTCCTCAATTAAATTTCCTTCCTCCCAGGGAAGATTTTTATCTCCTCAAAGAATGCAACAATCAACCTTCATTAATGTGCATAACTTTGAATAATCATATTAATGTCAAGAATGAATGCAATAAGAGGAATTATTTTGTCTGTACAGTAAAATTGTTTGAGTACTAACCATCCATATAGTACCAGTGATCTGTGGAGCTGAGGTGGTTCATAGGTTTAATATAAAACTGTGTTATCCATAGGCACATTCTCCTTTTTCTATTACTCAGGTGTAGCAAGTAGATCTGTTAAAAGGGTTGTTAATTTAATTATTTTATTTTGCCATATAGCATCAGAAATGTTTAAAAATGGAAGCTTTGCAGCAATCCTAGTGGAAGGTCCTATCAGAAGTGATGTAAGATACAAAAAGCTTTTGGCCCTAGTCACTAAGCTTGATTATTTCTGTTTTTCTGACCATCCAGGTAATGGTGCCTGGGAGGCAAAACACTCTTCTGCTTCAGCCTCTGCTGTCTGATACAGAATACAAAGTTACCATCACTCCCATCTATGCTGATGGGGAAGGAGTCAGTGTTTCAGCTCCTGGCAAAACTTGTACGTACAAACTTTCTGCTTGTCTTTGGCCAGGATATGCGTGAAGAAAGGCTTACTCTCTTGGCCTTTTTTCCTTGGCTGCAGCAGTGTATTTTAGCATACATGAGGGAATTTTTTTGCATGAATTATATGACTCGAGCTTTATACTAATCTCAGTTCATTGATTTATAAACTGTGAGTTGCTTCTAATTGACAAATTGTATTTTATATTCAAATACTGTGAGTTTGCAGGAACTTCTTGAGTAATAAAGGAGTAGTAGCCTACCAAGGACAAGCTAACTAATGCAGAAAATAAAGTAAACAATGTCTGCTGGGACAGTATCAAACCAACCATTGTACCGTTAAATTTTCTATTGTGTGAGATCATTACTTTCTAAAGGTCATTAGAAATGCTGATGAACTTTTTATAAAAGTGATTGCATTATCTCTAGAGCTCTGACCAAGTACCAAAAGATTACTCAGCTGTAGCTTAAGTTCTCTCTTCACTGTATATGGGTAACAAATCATCTCATTGTGCACTGCTAGTCATGACAATATAATTTTATTGAATTATTCTCCTAATTTACATAATTTCTGCTTAAATTGAAGTGCTATTTGTGTAGACACCAAAATCACTAGTAAGTCATTCCTTTGATTCCATTTGAAAGCATGAAGTGTTCACAAGAGCATGATTTACACATTAAAAACTTTAGTGCACAAGGATTGAAAGAAACTATAAATAAAAGATAATTATCTCTGAATTGTCTTAGGACAAAGTTGGGAATTAATTTGAAAATTCATTGTTTGTGAACAAAATTAATAATTAATCCTTGGTATAAGCTGGCAAAACCTTCTTAAATATGTCAACATGAATCCATTGGTGTAGTGCCAAGGATGAATCTGATTGAAGGCTTTCATCCTGGCACTTTTACCTGTAAATCTGAGAGTATTGGGTATTGCATTCTTTTCATGTACATGCCTTGATTTTTATGCATATGCTTGTGTGAGATAAAGTTTTAAAAGTCCAGTTTGGTTTCCTTCTAGTACCCCTCTCTGCTCCTAGAAATTTACGTGTGTCAGACGAATGGTACAACAGACTGCGCATCAGTTGGGACGCCCCACCATCACCCACCATGGGTTACAGAATTGTCTACAAACCTGTCAATGGTGAGTTTTTCAACTGATTTTTGTTTGGTCATTCGTTTTTGACCGTACAAGGTCTTGGCATCCTCTCTAGCTGAATTTTGTACTTACATCTAACTGTTGTAGGTACAGCCTTGAAAGTACTATTAACTTAGGTGTCTCAGGTTTTTAATACGCGAATTTCATAGTCACAGAGTGATGCAGATTGGAAGTTATCTTTGGAGACTATCTGGTCCAACTCTCTGATCAAAACAGGGCCAATGTGGAACAGGTTTTGCTGGAGCTTGTGCAGTTGAGCTTGTAGTATTTCTAAGGATGGAGATTACAGAACTTCTGTAAGCATCTGTTCCAGTTTTTGACTGCCCTCATTGTGAAACTGTCTATCCTAATAGCAAATCAGAATTTCCCATGTTGCAATTTTTGTCTGTTTCTCTTACCATCTTCCTGTTTGCTTCAGAAGAGATTCTGTCTCCATCTTCTCTACCCCCTCCCATTTAGGTAGGTGTAGGCAGCAGTAAGATTACCCATAGAGTTACCATCTTAAGGCTGATTGAATCCACTCTTTCAGTCATTTTACATAATTTTACATTGACTCTTTCAATTTATTTCATAAACTATGTTCTCCTATTCTACTTACTTCCCCTCACAATACAAACAAAACTTTATTTTCCATGACTTTTACTCCCACTCTGCACCTCCCAAATACTTGGCATTTTATTCATTGCCTTTTTCCCACCTGTACATTTCAGTTAGAGCACCCAAACTCCTTCAGATTTCTTTAGAAAATCACTATCCTTTTTTGAGATAAAAACCCAAATGTGTGACTATAAAGGGACTAGAATATTGTCTGAAGAAAATACTTATTATCTCGTTTTGGAAGTTTATCCAGAAAAACTGAGAGAGGTAACAAAGGAGCTGTTTGCAGTTCTGATTTGGGAAAGTTTTAATCTTTTCTATTTTCATTATAATTTATGCACAGTGTTAAATGATGCTGTTGTATAAGAACCCCTTAGGGACTGTACTACTAGCTGGCATCTGCTGTCCCCCCTGTTGGTCCTGGCACACCATCAAACTGAGGACATCTTTGGCTTCCTATTTAGGGCAGTAGTAAGTCACTGAGGCAGAACAAAAGGGTCTTAACAGATGCCAGTGTCTAGACCTGCCCTAATGAATCCACTGCTGAATTTCCCAAGTGTGTTGTGGCTTCTATCCATGGAAGGACTGGGCAGAGTGTCTTTGGTTTTGTGTATGTTAAAAAAAAAAGGCAATAAAAATAGCAGTGCAAGTGTGCAAGTGCTAATTCAATGGATGAGCAAATGACTATAAAAAATTATTCTCTAAATGTAAATTATTTCATGTTTTGCAGTTCCTGGTCCTGCGTTGGAGACCTTTGTAGGGGATGATATTAATACCATTCTTATGCTAAACCTCTTCAGTGGGACAGAATACAGCGTTAAAGTATTTGCTTCATACTCAACAGGCTTCAGTGATGCCCTAACAGGCGTAGCCAAAACCTGTAAGAATGATTTCATGCTGTTCAGATCTCTACAGGCAGTTTTTCTCTACCACTGTGGCTTTGTGCAGCTCTCGGAATAAATTCTTATGAGGAAGACTTTCTTGGTTGTGTGCAAATTGTTTTCCTGAAATGAAAGTCTTTTCTAATCAGACTATATCAGTTTTTTAAATAGTCTGCTGGTTTCTAGCAAGACAGGGGTCATAAAGTAGATGCTATTATTTACTAGCCAAACATATTTGCTGAGTAGTAGATATAAATTTAATTTAATGGAAAGACTATTTAGCCTTTTTTTTTTCTAGATTCATATATATAATCTGATTTAGTCTTTATATATCTAAAGCTCAATTTAAAATCAGATTTTGACAGAAGTATTGCTGTTATTATTATATTTTTATATTTATTTGTAGTAAATGAATTTTTAGGTGTTCATTATTTAGTCTTAACTAAATTGACTGATGTTCCAAACGTTTGGTCTAAAGATTCACCTTTTTTTTCCCCTCTGATTTTGGAGTTTTTTTGACATAATTCTTTTAAAGCAGCTTTTGACATAATTTGTTAAAAATTGACACAAATGTTTTGCTATAATTCATTTTAAAATATCATTTTTTCTTGTATGTCTTATTAGAGGAGTATATCTAACTTGTTGGTATTTAATTTTCAGTGTACTTGGGTGTGACAAATTTGGATTCCTACCAAGTTCGCATGACAAGCCTCTGTGCTCAGTGGCAGCTTCACAGACATGCTACTGCATACAGGGTGGTTATAGAGTCACTCGTGGGTAAGTTACTGAATCACCTGTTATGCAGCTACAGCCTGACCCACAGAGTTGAGTTGCATAAGTTAAGAAACTGTGTGCGGTCCATTGTGGTCCGAGTTCAACCCGGGCTAGAAATCACGGATCGGTCCCTTCTCTTCTCCTCAATGAGAGGAGGAGCAGCCCCAGGTTGGTTGGTTTTGCCTTCCCAGTGGGTCCGTCCCTGGCTTGGGACCGGCTGGCTACACCGGGTGTGTCTCTAGAGCACAAAACTCTGCCCAGATGTGCACACACCAGCACAAACACAGAGATTGTGTTTAAAGTACCACTTTACTGTAACAGTTTCCAAAGAGTGTGTGGGGGGGAACTGGATATGCAAATGCACCCAGTCGGTAAAGAGAAAGAAAGGCTATTATAGTTGGGGGTAGAGACAGCGAGAGCCCAACGCCTTTCCCGTATGGGGTCGATGAGGTGCGTGTGTGTGTCCCATGACTTTTGCCCGGGGAAGAGACGGCAGGAAAAGAAAGGTTTCTTGGTTAGTGAGTCTTATAGTTCTCGGCTCAGAAACACTGAGAGGGGTGACGGCTGCTCAGGAGTGCGGCTGCTCCTGCTGGGGCTTTGGGGCTCCTGCAGTGGCTGGGAGCCCAGGGGAGAGCAGGGACATGGCTGGAGCTGTGGCTGGAGCTCGGGAGCGCGGCTGCAGTGGCTGCTTTAGGAGCACTTGATGACCGAGGCTTTGGGGCGCGAGCAGTGATCCCAGCTTTTTTAGTGTGCTCCAGCTCCCTTCTTCTGTTTCTTCGGCTCCATTTGTGTAGCTCCTCAGCACGTAGGCTCCATGAGAGAAGAGAAAGCAGGGACAAGCTCCTTTTACCAGCCACGGAAGACTCCCTTTTATCTGGTCTCCTATTCCTCTGTCTTCTATTACTTCTGTCCTTCGTTCCAGCAGCAGTGGACAGTAGGCAGCAGCAACCCATAATGGCCTTTAACGACCAGTCTCTTGTCCGTTCAGCTCCCAACCCCAAGGTGGGCTCCTGCAAGGGCTGGTCCTGGCTGCAAACATAGCAAGGTGAGGCTGGTCATCTCTGCCCTTAGATACTCCCTGTAGCGTCATGCTGTTTCTCCTTTTTGTCTGTTTCCTTCTCCCT